GGTTTAAATTCTAAGCTCGAGGTGTCCCCCTATAATTCATTTGATAGATATGCATTTGGTTCATAGGTCCCATCGTCAATTTATGCAAATTGGCCTCTGTAACTAAGGTGTTGAATTCTTTAAAATTGTGACTTTGAGCCACAACTCTGTTAAGAATCTCCTTACCCAGAGATGAGATGTCAACTGCAAAAAATAGAATATCTTAATTTTTGGTTTGTTGAAATAAAAAGAGAATTCAAGAAAACAAAGTAAGAAAATTACTAGAGATTGAGGTTGGCATTACACCCCATTTTCAAAGAACCCTCATGGGGTTCGCAATCAGAGGTTCAAAGGGATTGAATTCCCATCCAAAACCAAAAACGAATAAGAAGCAATCTTTTCATTCTTTGTCAGGGAATGTACTTTTTGTCAATAGATCAGCGCCGCCAGTCCCCTTCGTTAAATAGTACCAGCCCAAGTTTGGGCCAGCACCCACCTCAATTTGAAAGAAGTGGTGGACCTCTCCAACAGTGGGAAAAACGCCAACGCTTTGGGCGGAGCTCCACAAGGCGCCAAGCCCAATCAACACCCTCCAACTATTTGGGGTGAGTTGGCAGGATCAATGTTCAAGAAATACAAGAATTCGCAAACATAAGAAAGAAAAAGAAAATTTTAATCTAGAATTGATGTTTGCTTCATATGCACAGACCTCCCCTTCATGATAATTGCAAGTTTTTTCATCACCACCACGAGCTCTTAGTAAGATAGAATTAGAAATATAGAATTTGGAACAAAGGTGAGAAAGATCAGCATCGTCGGTAATGGTATTGTAGAGCCCCTAGGCAAAGTAGCTAGGGGTTTCAAATGTCTTTTCATGAATATCCTCCATAAGTCCATCCTCTTATATTCTCATCTCTAGAGTAGAGGAGGTGGGAATTTTTGATGACTATTTTTCAGTAGCCATGGAAAGTAAGAGTAGCAAGGAAGGGAAAAAAGATAAGTGTTTTCGACTTGGAAAAACCTAAATGGAGAATAGATAGCTCGTTTCTTAGGAGAGAGATCCAAGAAGGAAGAAAAACTTTGTCAATCCAAAAGCCCTAATCCACCTTTTAAATAGGTCAAGGGATGATTGTTATAAAAACCCTGCTTACCTCATTTGAAGAGACACATTTAATGCGCTTCAAGAATCAAAGAGAGGTAACGGTCAGATTTCCAACGGGAGGAAATATCCACCAGAATTATGACGATAAGTTTGACCTTGATTTTTTTTAGAGGTTCAGACTTTATTTTTTAATATCTTTAGTTTTACTTTTAATTTTTTCTTTTCTTTTTTTTTTTAAATAAAAACTTAGGACTTTTTTAATTTCACAGCCTGAATTAATATGTCTAATCTACTCAAGTTGAAATATTTTATTTGGGTTTAAATTTAAATTTTTTGTGGGGCCTATTTTTTATGAATTCAAATTTTTTTGTTTGGATTATTACTGCAACCTATAAATCATGAGGCTTTCGTTAATTAAAGTGGGACCTAAAATCAGGTTTTATTTGCTTAATGATCGGGGCCGGCCATGTATTGGATAGTGCCAGTCAAATTCTTCCTTAGACGGCTTTCTGGAACCTCGGTGCGGTTATTGGATCTAAAAAAATGCAAACGTATGCGTATGTGTTGTGTCACGCTCGGTGGATCTCTAACAAAATATTTTTCCTTTCTTTCCACTATTATTAAAACATGAGTATTGTTTCCTTGTTGGTTGTGGTAATTCTTCAGCGTGGTATCACCCCGGTGAAATCCGGTCTTTTGATACACCTGTGATTGAGATTAGATATGCCCGTCGAGCTTCACTTATGGATAGAAGTTCTGCTTTTTTAATTTTCCTAAAATTTCCCACAATGTTTGAACATTTTTCTTTGAAACTTATTGGTAGAATTAATCAATTGTGTTATCCAATAAGAAATTTTGATAATTCTCTCAATGCTGCCTCTTGTTCATGGCGTGGTATATGAAGTTGTCGATATTACTGGTGGCGAGCCTAGTCTTCAAAATTAAAGTGGAAAGAAAGAAAATTGAACACCTTCCCAGTATGTCGTTACTTTGTCCAATGGTAAATGTTGGATGTTGGGATGAGATCGGATTGGATTTAATTGTCGAATTAAAACTAGAATTTGATTCTTGTTGATGTCTAGAGGTTTGTAAACTAATTTGAATTCTTTGACATATTTTGACAGGATTTGACTTCAATACCGAAGGAGATATGATCTTTTGCACTATTTCATCTTTTGGTTGCTATGTTTAACATCATGAAAGAAAACAAGGTTTATATTGATATATGTTTCAGACTGACTTGCAAACATTACAAAATATGTACTGAACATATATAGGGTCCGATTAATAAGTGATATCATATTGATTACTATTGCTTAAAAATTGCATTTAGCGTAAAACTTTGACAAATTCAACTGACAATTGAGGTAGTTCGATCTTTGCAAGTACTGGCATTTTTTGAAGCGGACATCACTGACGAATTGATTTATTAAGCATCAAAAAGTAAGATGAAGGTCTAATCCATTCTTAGTCATCTTGTCTTTCCTTGTGTTCTTGTCAAAAGTACTTGACTTCATTACTATTGCATTTTGTAACTCGCAACTACTTGAAATAATTGTGAGTAAAAGGAGATACTCAAATTAAGAGTAAAACCCCGTATATATAGGCAAAATATAAAAATCATAGTAAGGGTAAAAAAGGGAAAAGAAATCCTAATAAACCTAGGAAAAGAAATCCTAATAAACCTAGATTATCTATACTCCAACACTCCCCCTCAAGCTAGGCGCAAAAATATCAACTAAGTCAAGCTTGACAATGGAGTCCCGAAGAATAGACAGAGTGACAGGTTTGGTAAAAACATCCGCAACTTGATCACTGGTCCCCACAAACGATGGAGTAACAAGACTACTGCTGACCTTCTCCCGAAGAAAGTGAACATCGATCTCTATATGCTTCGTTCTCTCATGTAGTACAGAGTCAGAAGCGAGCTGAATAACAGATTGATTATCACAATATAATGTGGATGGAGAGGTCACTGAAAAACCCAACTCGTCAAGAATCGATCGTAGCCAGATAATCTCACATGTGCCAAGTGTCAATGCCCGATACTCTGCCTGCTTCTTGCTCTTCCAAGAGATAAGATGAGTCCCTCGAAAAGCACAGAAACCCGTAGTAGATCGACCATCACATGCTCCCCCATAATCTGAATCTGAATAACAGGCTAGAGAACCGGTCTGAGATCCTGATGCATAAAACAACCCAAGTTCAAGACAAGACTTGAGGTACCGAAGAATATGATAAACTGCATCAAGATGAGGCTGACATGGCCTATGCATGAACTGACTAACTCGGCTGACTGCGAATGAAATGTCCGGCCTAGTATTGGCTAAGTAGATAAGTCTACCTACCAATCTTTGATAAACTGTCGGATCTTTCAACTCCTCACCTTCAGCAGTAAGCTTCAGGTTTAGAATCATAGGTGATAATGCCGGTTTGCACCCCAACATCCCAGTGTCTGAAAGAAGATCCAAAACATACTTTCTCTGAGAAAGAACAATACCTCTGCTTCTACGGGCAACCTCAATCCCAAGAAAGTATCGCAGAAATCCAAGATCCTTCACATCGAAGGCCTTCCCAAGGTCTATCTTGACCTGCGCAGTCCCAGAAACATCATCACCAGTAATAATAATCTCATCAACATATACCAGAAGGATGACACACTGTCCAGAAGTATTCCGTCGAATAAAGCAGGTATGATCAGAATGACACCTGGTGAACCCCAATCGTATGACTACATCACTGAAGCGAGAGAACCAGGCTCGTGGCGACTGTTTCAGTCCATAAAGAGACTTACGCAGTCGACATACCTTTCCAGCATACTCCCCGTCCTGACTGAGAATACATCTCTGATAATGCGCTCCATAGCTTCGGAACAGAGCTATGAAACTGGTGGATCTTGCAAACAGAGGACTCCATTGAGCCAAATAACCATCCAAGAATGACACAGTTTTCAGAGAACCATGCAGAATATCCAGGGTCGGCATCAGCTGGCTTTGGGTGAGATCCCGTCAGCCAACCAAGCTTCCTTACACGGCCTAAGAAAAGCTGGAATGAGCGTGACCACTCAGCGAAGTTACAACCATTCAACAATTGTGCCGTAACTTTTTGAGAGATCATGCCCGGTAATGCTGGTAATGCAACTAGACCCGTTGAGATCTCGTTCCAAGAACCTAGATTATATTAAAATCTAGACCCGTCTGAAGAACCCAAATTACAAGTAAGAACGCCACAAAGGATGTGATTTACCTTTGATAAGTTCAAAAGTTCAATCAAGAACAAGAGGAGTAAACTCAACTCAATTCACAATCAAAATTCATTATAGATTGTCTCAACGGTAGAGGTGTCAACAGTAGGGTTCTCAAGTCCCTCAGTAGTAGTCATATCAACAACAATACTAGGGCACCCGTGATAGAAAAATAACTCTAAGATAAATAGAGGAATAAAATAAGGGAGAACAATATACCTTCAGTCGAACAGTAGCGACAAATAGGGAAGGTCCAAAAAGCTCCCAAATAATCAAGTCACGGTGCCCAGAAATCCAAAATATATAAATAAGTGATCTACTGCATCAAGGGCAGATCAACAAAAAAGAGGATCCACTCCCTCCCAAAAAAGTCCTAGAATAAAATCACAACGAAAGTTGTGACCCAGCAGTGGGTTGGACAATGATCTAGCAGTAGGAGTGGTTTTATTGAGTTTATTGGGTTGGATCTATTATTATTATTATATGGAGAATGGGTATGGATTGAGGTTGCTGCAAGTGTTGGATACGAGATGGCCAGTGACAGGGCAGTAACCATGGAAACTCCAATAGCAAACTTGTCCATAAGATCATCTTCAGTCAGATCAAGCACCTCTGGGTTAAAAACTGAACCATTGTCATAAACAGACAGAACTTGCAGACCATAAGAGAAGGGTCTTATCCCAAGTTTTGCAAGCAGGGCAGCCTCAGAGGAATAAGGTTGAGGTAGGCCTTGTTGCCGGTCTTCTCAGAATGGATCCTGATGGACCTCTTCATCATAGTATTTTTCCCCATCAGCACGATAGAGTCTCCACGAAGTCCCTGCCTAATATTCTGCAACTGGTTCGATCCGACATTGTCGGCCGCGGCGATGAGGACCTGGGTGTACTGATCAAGAAGCTGGCACAGTTTCTGATCATAAGCGATCTTCTTTTCGACCTTCGATGTTTTCACCGCCATTGATTCTGATGAGCTTGAGCTTCAAAGATATAAGTATATGTATAGATTCAACAGAGTGTACAAGACTAAGGCCTAAAATTGAACGAAAGAGATTGGGCAAAAACGAGGGCCAAGACGAAGCGACGACTTGATCAAGGCGGACAGCGACGGCGCCGTCACTTTAACCTCTCCTATTCACTTTCAGGTTGTTTGCTGAAGAAAGAGAAACCCTAACCACTGGATTAAGGTTGTGGTGGACTGGTATAAGGATAGGCAGTCAGTGTATGGACTGGTATGAGGATGGGCAGTCGGTGGACTGGTTTTGTCGCTGGTTTGGTCGGTTTCGCTGGGCAGCTGATGGCCAGGGTGGTTTCGGCGGTATGGCTGGTAGAGCCATACACTAACCCTACCCCAAAACCCTAACCTTGCTCTGATACCAACTTGAAATAATTGTGAGTAAAAGGAGATACTCAAATTAAGAGTAAAACCCCGTATATATAGGCAAAATATAAAAATCATAGTAAGGGTAAAAAAGGGAAAAGAAATCCTAATAAACCTAGACTATCTATACTCCAACACAACTATACATAATCTTCCCACTCAAATGATGAAGTCCAACTGGTTCATAGATCCAGCTCTTATTTGTTCTTTTATAATGGGACATCGGAGAAGTAACTAATCAAGGGAGATGTAAAACATAGATTATACTTCAATCTAATTAAGGGGAGTGTGAGATCCGACAAAAGATGTGAGTTCAAATATAGTAGCATTCATTACAACGCTTTCACCCATTACAACGCTTTCACCCTTAATAAAGGAATCTAGATTTGATATCTTTTTTTTATTTGAATGAGGAAATTCGAACTCGACATTCTTTGTTGTGTGACTTGTTTCCTTTGATTTGTTAAATTTAGCTATTGGGTGATTACATGCATCTCAAAACTTTTGGTTATGGTGATGAATGTTTCAATGACAATTCATTGAGAAAATTATCAACTTGATTGCATAATTGAACAACTCATTGAGAAAATTGTAATCGAAGGTTATCGCCTATTCAATATTTTGCTGGTGCATATTTAAATGTGGTTAAGGTTAGAGGCGAATCTTTTGAAATATCTCCCAAAGATTTCCAGAGTAATCATTGTTGTCACAGATGCTCTCTCTCCCACTCATTCACTCACAGTAGATCCCTAGCCCCACCAACCAATAAATTGACATAATTAGTAAACCCTGGACCTTACCTCTAGCTATAATGTCTTATCCCAGTTCCACTTGGTCGTCTCGGTGCATCTTTGAGGTATGTAAAGTAATATTACATTACCTGTTTGTTGGGCCTAATATTCACTTTAGCTCATCCCATAGTAGGCATGACTCTCCTGGCTCAAAATGGGGGACTTACACCTCACCTTGAAGTTAAAGTTGAAGTTGGGAGTTCGACTTTTGGAGTTTTTATTAAGATTTGATGGTTAACCGTTATACTAGTCTAGTTAGGTTTGATCCCGATAGATGTTTCAGGCGCAGTCAGGGGCCTTATGATCCCACCGTTGAGGACCTATTGGGGTGGTCGTAGGACTCTCTTCCTTGTCCCCACCCCTTTTTCATTTATCAAAAAAAAATGGGGGACTTTTTTTTTTATTTGTGGGGAAACCATCAGAGCCTGCAATCTACGTTAGCCAGTACGAGGGGCGCTAATGTTTGAATCCAATTACTGGAAAAAATATTATTGAATATTAGTATATGTATTATTGTTATTAAAGAACATATATTTGTATAATCACTCAATAATTATTTATACAGTGTCATTTTTTTCTCAAAAAGCTGGGTGTCCATTTTATATATCAATGTTATTTAATAATGTGACCATTGAATTACTAGTAAAAATTTATTTAATAATGGAACTCATGCTAATTCCAATAATCTTTTGCTCAAAGCAAATATGGCAGAGTACAGTTGACAGAGAAATAAAGCACAGCTAAAAATGCTGTGCACCATGTGAACGGTTGGATCAATTAACCATATTTTTAACCTCCCATTCACTGTACATCTCTACTAACTATAATTACTACAAAGAAAGCTCGAGGTCCAAGCCATCACCCCCATCTTCTTTGTCATCGTGTGTCTTAGAAACACCTGCTATGTCGGTTTCAGGGCCTTTGGACGGAGCTTCCTCCATGAAATCTTCCGGTCGGAACGACGGCATCCAAACCTGAACCGCCTTCTCTTCGGTTTCGGTGGCCTTCTGTTCTGCTTCGTTTGATTTACCTACCCCGCGGGTCATACGTTCCCGCACTTCTCGTATGCTTCTGATCAATGTGAAGAACTTCTCCATATTCTCTTCTTCATTCTCCTCTTCGTTCTCCATCTTCCTCTTTCTTTCTCCTTCCATCTATTGATAGATTGGTTAGAGGGAGAGAGGGAGAGAGGGAGAGAGAAAAGAATGGTTGTTGCGTCTTTTGCTTAACGAACTACAAAACACACACATACACCCCTCGAGAAAGAGATTGAGAGGTGCTTATAGAGGGCAACTGATTCAGTTTATGTTGACCCAATGGACAGTAGTCAATAATTAATGAGTAATGCTTGATGATGGGATGATAAATGTTAAAATGACGAAAATAGCCAAGCGGGGGACAATTATTAACTTAAATTATTTCATCCATTCTTAAATATTTGTCGTTTAAAATTTTTACACAGAGATTAAAGAAACTATTAAATAGTTTTAATATGACTAAAAAATAATTGCACAAGACTAAAATACCCTTATTTAATACGTATTTAGAAGGAAAAAATATGAAAGATATTTAGCCTCCATCAAATCTAATACATTAAAAAGTTAAGGATAAATTTAGAAGAAAAAATATTAATTATATTTTAGTTTCATTAAACGACAGATATTATGAAACAAAAAAAAATTATGTAAAACGACAAATATTTAAGAACGGAGGAAGTACTAGTTATCTAGGGTGGTAGTTGTGCCTTTATTGTCATAATGCTTTAACAAAAATTACTTTTTTTCACACTAAAATTTTTTTTTAATTGTTTATAACTTCTCAAGTGATAAAATAAAAAAAAAATTAGAAAAGATGACACCTGATCCTCTCATTACTGAATTGAGTTATTTCTGGTCGAGAGTAACCTGATCCTTTTATGATTTATAGTAACAGATTATATTATCTTTGAGTTTAATATGTATAATGTATCTTAGTAAATTATTATCTGGAGGATACTTTCAATTGTCAAAGGTATTTTAGTAAATTCAATGGCGACGTTCAGAATAATAAGTGGTGGCGAACAATAGGTGGGGCGTCAATGTCCGATGCCCACAATGGGGAGATATTCAATATAATCAATACAACGGCTAACTCGTAAGTGATATGGTATCACTAATTAATAATAAAATTTTAAATAAATAAAGTGAACTTTATTTTCGTAGTTAGTTATTTCCATGTAAGAAGAACGGATATTTATGTGTTTATTTGAATAGATAGTTATTGACTTATGTGATGTCTATTTTTTTATTTATTTACATATTATTAATTAGTTATACAACATGATAATATCGATGTGATATCACAAATAGGCCTGACAATTCTAGACGTTATTCGTGAAATCGATATGAACCCGATACGGATTTAACGGATTTGAGTGTAGTCTTAATGAGTTTGGGTGGTTAACGGGTTAACTTGATAAACCTATAANATTCTAGACGTTATTCGTGAAATCGATATGAACCCGATACGGATTTAACGGATTTGAGTGTAGTCTTAATGAGTTTGGGTGGTTAACGGGTTAACTTGATAAACCTATAAAATAAATGAATCGATTTCGTGTTTAACCCATAAACTCGTTTCAACCAGTTTAACCCGTTAAGAGTGGTACAATAAATTTTTAAAAAACAAGTTAAGTCTCTTAGCCTCTATCTTATCTCACACCTCCCATCTCTCAGAATTATTCAAATTTAGTAGTATTTAATATTTATTTTTTGTCTTTATTTTTTTGTTCAGTCATGATTTATTGTTATAGTAAATAGGTCAAACATGTGTAATGTGTGGCGAATTAATGATTTTTCATGTAAACTTGAAATTATCTAACATATTCTTTTATTTAGCAAGTGAAACACATGTAATATCGGGTAACTCGTCTAGTAAATGATTCATGAATTGGTGTGATAGTTAGACTCGTTTATATAAACGAATAGGGTATAGATGAAGGATTTTTTGACACAAACACGTTCCACCCGATACGAAACAGTTTCACTCGACACGATTGCCCGGCTTAATCACAAACCCTTTCCTTTTCAGTTTTTACTGTAATTTCAAAAATCAGAATGGCATCTCATGAAATTGGTACAAACAACAGGGGATGTCGGTATAATTTCCCCCAAACTAAATAAAAGATTTTTTAAATAAATACTTAAGAAAAATTCCAAAATAAAAAAAGCTGAGAGAAAAGAAAGTGATAGGTTTTACGATAGTTATTGTACTGAATATTTTTTTCAATGACAACAGCTATAAAACGTAATCGCTTCCACCAAACGTGACGCCCATACACTGACATAAGCTACCTGACGTCTTGCGGGGCGGCTTTATTGGGTGCCAGGTCAGCACTACGTTCCTACTGTTTGTTCTATTCAATGGTTCCTATTATGATACAGATAAAATGATATTATACTATTTTTTATTTTTTGTTTAACAAATATTTAACAGGTGTAAGTTTTTTTTAAATTGTATTTAAATTCATTAGTTTGACAATTAATGATTTAAATGTATCAAAAACAATTAATGACTCCTAATTAATTTAGATATGTGTTTGGCGTGTTTTGAGTTGTGGGCGTGTTAAAATTCAGATGGACTCAAAATTTCAAACACTAACGATCTTATCTCTGCTCGAGCTAGTGCAAAATTTTTAAATCATGACTGTTCAACCGATTGAAATAAAGAGTAAGACTACTTGTAGATCTTTTTTTACCTTGTAGATCAATGACTTAAACTTATATTTTAGCAATAGGCTGACAAATTGAGAAAATAAAGATAAACTAGAATTGAAATGAACAAAAAATGGCATAAAAAGAAAGAACTATTACATTGCATGTTGTGCTTCAAACAAACTAAAAGAAAAGACACCAGAATGACAATAGAATTACATAATAATAAGAAAATTACAGGAAATTAAACAGTGCAAAACGGGTCTAAGATGCTGTTTGTAGGAGTGTTATTGACAGATCTCTCTTCAATAGCCTACATCTATGTATTTATAGGTCGTGACTTTTAATCGTTGGACCTTTTTTTCAGACCACTCAGTCTGTACTCATGGCCTCTATTCTCAACAGTCTTTAACATGATCTAAATCGTTTATAACCGATGACTCTGCCATGTCCATCCTAACATGACTATTTTTTGAGATTTTTATTTTTTTTTTTCGGAATCGCATTATCTTCTTAAACCATGTGGTCGTTGGATTACACCATGTGTTCGTCTCAGATTTGTTCATATTTTGGTAAAAGCAATCTGGAATCGAAATTTTATTTAAAAGTGATGTCGCCTTATCCCTGTTTAAGACTCACACTTGGGTATGCTCATGGCACATTTCTAGACCCACAAAACAAGAGCCTTGCAGCTGGTTCAGTCTTGGGGATCTAAAAGGTGGTATAAAAAACTATTTTTTAATAATATATCTGCATATACATTGCTCAATAAAATGTGATATCATTAATTTTTTTGGTTATTTTATTTTATATCATTTTAATGATCAAATACTGTTGTTGATACTGAAAAAATATACAAAAGACAATAGAATTTCGAAAAACAACAAGTAATACAGAAATTACCAGAAGGGGCAAAAAATTACTTTCACCATCAAACCATATATTGGACAATATGTCATACTAAATATTCTCTAAATATTTTCCTAATATTTTGTTATAAAAGATAATGATCACTATGCAAAAAGGCGCCTCAAGCAAGAAAATAAACTCTATTGTACTCTTCTTAAAAAAAAGTAACATAAAACCAAGCATTAAGAGCCTCCATTAGAGTGGATGGGCAAAGTTTTTCAGTTGATGAACCACTTATTTTTTTGTGTATTCTCAATCATTTTTCCACACAAACGACATTCCCACCAAGAGCTCATCCAGCTCTCTACCTCATGCCTCTCGATTTTTTATGTCATCCGTTTGACGTTGTTTATGAGAACAATTTTTATCATTCTAAATCAAATTTTTATTGAGACCCTCACCTAGAGCATGAAAAAATGTGTAGTCAGACTAAGATCAACCACAAACAACTTTCAGAATGTTGGACACATTTTTTACTCCAACAACATCTTTTCCGTAACATGAAACCCCATGAGCACGATTAGACAAGTATAGCCCTAACCAGAGGCCTGCTCAAGTCAAGCTCCACTCGGGGATTTGGGGGGAGGCAACTGATGATACCAAAAGAGAAAGTCAGATGATGAACTAGTCAAGTCCATAATTCAATTACTAGACGGACCAGGTTGATCATCATGTGTGGAGCAGAACTGGAAGAGTCCAGACCAGCAATGGGACTTTAAAGGTTGACCATCAACGGGGAAATTGTCAAAAGGAGTAAACGAGGACTTTCACCAACCAACTCTACATTGGACAAGAGGTTGTTGGGATTTAATGCGCTTTAAACCCACAGACAAACACACACAATAAAAGAATAAACCAAGAACATAAAATAATGAGAAACAAGAAATAACAAGACACACAAATTTTACGTGATTCAACAAATTGTCTACATCCACGAAGCTGCAGAGATTTCGCTATTGAGAGGGAGGAATACAGAGGGCGACTGTACAATGCACATATATCCCTAATAACCTAAATAACATGTTTTATATGTCATGCGCACCGGATTACAAAATAGGCCCCACGAGCCTAGTCTATGAGTGCTACGAGTTGGGCCTATTAGCCCAAGCCTCCACTTCATGGATTAAATCTTAGAAAATTTTTCATTAAAAATTACAAAAACATTATTTTTGGTCAAGTCATCATTCGGATCAACACAAAACTAGACTCCACAAACAAAAAAAAAACCTAACAAATCTCCCATTGGAGACTAATTCGATCACCAACATCAACCGCAATCCCCCAAAAGAAATAGTCTCACATCCCTGCAACTCATCATCTTGTCCTCAAGCTAAGAGACCCACCCACAGAAGCTGAACAACACTTCAGCTTCTCCACAGTAACCACTTTCGTGAAAATGTCTGTCAGATTATTCCTTGGGTGAATCTTCTCTAAAGTGAACTGTCTATCCTCCAACAAAGAGTGAATAAAGTGATACTTAATGTTGACATACTTGGTCCTCGAATGAAAGACTGCATTCTTCGCCAGATGTATCGCACTCTGATAATTGCTAA